TGGCTGGCGAATCTCCTAGAACCCGTTAGAAAACGCATTTGTAAACATTCCGTACGTGATACTTTTGAATTTATCGAGCACATAAAAGAAGTGAATGTAAGTGACAAAATTATTCTATCTCTGGATTTCGAATCATTATTCACTAATGTTCCACTCACAGAGACCATTAATTCTACCTGCAAGTACATAAATAATAAGGAGATATACATTGGAATGCAGGATGTTTATTCGAAGGAACTATTACTAAGTTGCACTTGCAATGTACAGTTCACACTCAACGACGTGCTTTATAAACAGAAAGATGGTATAGCAATGGGATCCCCATTTGGTCCATTACTGGCAGATTACTTCATGGTCAGTTTAGAAAACAACCAACTCAAAACAATTATAGAAAACCTCCACTTGTATAAAAGGTACGTGGATGATACCTTTAACATTTATGACAACAAATGTGACATAAGTCATCTCCTAAAGACATTTAATAATTGTCACCCATCAATAAAATTCACACTTGAAGTTGAAAACAAACAAAATATTTACTTTATTGATGTGCAAATGACAAGAAAGCAAGACGGTACTTTAAAAAGATCTATTTACAGGAAACCGATGTGGAATGGCCTACTATCAAATTTCCACAGTTGGGTTCCCATCAGCCAAAAAAGAAGCTTAATAATAACACTCGATACAAGAATACGAAGAATCTGTAGTCTCGAGGTCGAAGATGAAGAATTGGGCCTTTTAAAGGAGATATGTATCAAAAACGGGTATCCTTCAATATCCATTGATAAAAACATGAAGCCGAAAACTCCAAAAACACAAATAATTACAGTAGAAAAGAAAACATTATACATGAACATCGACTTCAGAGGTGATAGAGCCACACATATCTTGAAGAGGAGAATTTCGGATTCCTTAAAAAGAACATTCTTCGCAAAAACATTGCGAATATTATTCTCCAGCCAATCATTGTTCACCAATATTCTGAAAGATAAATTATCGCATCTGACCAACTCAATGTACATTTACCAATTTACCTGCTCTTGTGGAGCTAGGTATATAGGTCGTTTGATGCATACTTTATCCAAAAGAGTTCAAGAACGTTGTCTGGCGTGGCTAAAAAGAGGAGGCAACGGCTCATTAAGAAGTTCTACAATCGAACACCTTGTGAACACAGGTCACTCAATCAATTCAGACTCTACGTTCAAAGTTATCTACAAGGTAAGTAAAAGTCTTCCTAAGTCAATTAGACTGCATTTTCTTTGCATTACCGAAGCAATAGCCATACATCTGGAAAAACCAGAATTGTGTGTGCGAAAGAGACTGGTACAACCTCTTCTTCTACCTTGGTCTTAATGTATTTAAATTTTTCTCTCTTTTTCATACTTTTGTTCCTTAACAGCCATCTGCTTCACCTTCCATCTTCCCTTTAAATCTTCTACCCCTAACTAGTTTGTTTTTATTTCCATGACTATTCCGACTACATTTCATCTCTATTTCAACATTTTATCTTATCATTCTGAGCCATCCTTTCCCAATGATAATTTCCCTATCTTTTTCAATACCTATGTTTATTTAACCTCATTGTCACTATGTATAACAGAAGTTTCTTATCAGTATTATTATCATCCCGTAAAAATAAGTATATATATTCACGATTGTACAGCTTTGAAAATGATTTCCAGATTTCTCTTTTTATTATTACTACATTCTTTTCAGCATTAATTAGCGTCATAATGGGCAATCAACGTTTTTACTTTTTATCTACAAACCATTTTTCAGCATAGTCAACGTTGCACTAAAGTATTGTCTTGGTATAAAATATCGTACAGAAAGGGTGTGGCACTACAAGATCGACATTAGTGAAAGTTAAGGATATATATTGCCAAAGGAAGAACAACAAAGTATTGACTATGAGATCAACTGTCATGATTGTAATGCAGCTTATGTGGGAGAAACATTCAGACAATTGAATGTAAGGTTGAAGGAACACAAACAGTGTTTGGAAATGTTTCCATATCCTCGATTGACTTAAAGAAACTTGAGAATAAGTCTGTGATAGCTTTACATGCGTTAGAAACAGGACACAAGATTAACTTTGAAGGGACCAAAATACTTCAGAAAAGTTTTACCACTAATAAAGAAAGATTGAAAGCAGAAGTGTTGTATATATGGGCGTACAGGAATCACCTAAAACAAAAAAGATGGTATTCAACAAGCAACTACTTGGCAAATATTTGTTAACAAGTAATTGGACTCTTTCTTCATTCAACCTGTTTATTTCACATGCATCGTTATTTTTGACTGAATTCAATGAGTTTTTAGCAATACAATTATGTATTTGATGATTCTCATTTTAACTTGCATTTCAACGATTCAAAAACAACTTTTTCAACGTTCAACTTGCCTTTTTTTTTAATTTTTCCTTCGTATAAAAACATATTAACATCAAATATTATTTATTAATAACTCATGCATACACACATACAGACAGACAGACAGAAAATTCGTTTCAGTCATTTATTTTCACGTCGTAAACCTTTCACATGATTCCCATGTAACTGACTCGTGTTATCCTATTTACTAAACATCAACATCCCAAATATGTTTGGATTAAGCACAGGATAGATTTGATTTGATTTGATTATTACAACGCTATATTTCTTTGATGATTTTAATATTGATTATTACCTTAAAGAAGTCCAGACAAGTTAGCTGGACGAAACGTTGGGATTATTTTTAAAATTCAATAACTGAGATTATTTCAAGTATAATTTTCATATAAAATGTCTTCTCTATACTCGGCGCTCAATTTCTGTCAAACTATTCGTTCTAATCTTGACGAATATTTGTATCGTATTGAAAGCGTTTATTGACTGAAATGTAATTTTGTCATTTTAGTAAAACCTAGTAATGATCATCAGTATTATTATTTAAAGAAAGTTATAACATATTTACCTAACTCTAAACATTTGATTAAATGAATCATAAGAGGCTTTAACAAATGATAAGTTAGTACAAAACATTTGTATTTCTACTTATTTTACATCAGCTTTACACATGACATCAGTTGATAGGAGTAACTATCTTTAATACGAAAATGCATTCTGCAAACAATAAATAGTTTGACGTATATAATGATCGCATTTTATGATTGATAAGTCTCCTAATTGAACGCTAATTTTGGTTCTTAAGTTCTTCCAGTAACCCTCAGGCTAAATCTACACAGCAACTTGAACATCAGAGAAGAGGCGCAAAATATTGAAAAAAAAACGCTTTCTCCAAAAGTTCGTTTATGTACAGAAAATCTAGGGTTTTTATAGTAGTTTGGATGTCTTTGGGTTTCTGGAAAATTCTGGAATGCTACTAAGCATAGTAGCAGTATAAGTAATCATCTAAACAGACACTTAATATGTGACCTCTCACTTTCTAGATGTTTCTGGCAAAACTTCTAGTAAACACTGATTGGATAAGATGCTTCTCAGTGTTTTTAAAGCCTTTCTTGGCTTTATTACGAATAGTTTTCTGGATCTCTCCAACAATGATCAGAATAGCATTTGATTTTTTTAAATGCTCTATCTTTGATTACAATTAAAACGTCTGGGCACAAAATTTCAGTTTCATCTATCTTACTTGTGTATGTCTTATATTTTAGTATTAAGGATCATGACAGATTCTATGCATTCCAAAGACGTTTTGGAGTGTATTTTGGGATTAAATAGTACGTACGCGATTCAAAGGTGAAATAGGAGATGAAAATATTGGATATTCCATTGGCCTGTGATTTAAGTAGTTTACTAAGTAGTTAAGTGATTTGAACAGAAAGTACTTAACAAGAAAAAATCATAAATGATGAATACAAATAAAACATTCAATTAGAAAATACAAGAGAATAGTCATTCTTTTGAAAGCATGACATTATAGAGACAAAAATATCTTTAAGAGATGAGAAAGCAGACAGTTTCAATTGAACACGTATGAACAGTAATTTGAAACTAATCAGATCTTGACTTTTCTTAAAAGGTTAGTTTGGGTGAAAATTTAGAATAAGTTTAGTAAATTGCGTGATATATGAAGAAAAATAAATTCCAAACCATCATTCGTGAATATCGCTGGAAGCTTATACACACCATATTGAGCATAAGTGAATTCGGAGATAAAACAATGTGAAGTCACCTTTAGGTAGTGATTTTTAGAAACCAAAAAGCACTAAAGAATTGTTTATTAAAGTTTAAATGAAATACGATAAAGCTACAATGAATCAGGTGTTTTCTGACTTGTTTTTATCAACAACTTTCCAGCTAATTCCAATCATTGATTAGAACTATTTTACAATACACTTTCTGTCAGAAGATAACTGACAACAGGATTAAAATGTCGTTTTCCCCTTAATACAAAGCTGAGAAAATAATGTGTACAACTCTGAGTTTATCAACGGAAAATAGGTCAACCATATAACAGAATTTCAGTCAAAAATCTGGTAATTTTGTGTATTATTTAGTAATTTTTTGTCCCATTTTGTCATGTATAGCCTCAAATGAAAAAAATACTGTTAAAGTAAACAGCATATATTTGATTATCTTGCATGAAATCGATTGTTTTCAGGATTTCAAGTCCAGACCTTCGTAAACTGTCATCTTACCGTTTGATATCAAATAGTGATCTAGACGTTAAGCGTCCGTGCGCGTGACTGCATGCCCTGAGTTCGAATCCTGCGGGTGGGACTGTGGATGCGCACAGTGCTTCCGGGTTTTCGCTCGTGCTCTAACATCAATCGGTTCATGATCTCAATCAAAAATCGTAAAACGTTTTACCAACTAATGGATAATAGTCAAAAAAACTATTTGTAAGTATAAATGTCTCATTCATAGGAATAAACCATTACTGTATGCCTATTGATTCACTTCATTGCTTTGACTAATCTAAAAACAAAGCTTCAAATCAACCAGTAATCTTAAATACGTGACATAAATGAATATAATCCTTGTTAAACATTTTCTTACCTTGTAAGCATACTGATCCACATTTGATTGGATCACAAACACATCTTTGTGATGGACCATAACTAACCCAACAATCAATATGTTGACTACATGATTTATTTGGACAATTTATTGAATCTAATTTATTGAAATGTTTTAAATGACATCGACCAAATGGAAGATTTGTGAATTTTTCTTTGTACACCAATGAATCAAATGATGTGATAATAATAATAAATAAAATAATTAAACTTTGAATAATAAAGAATGTTAAATGTTGAATAGTTAGATCCATTTCATATCAACTTTTGTTTGAATTTATCAAAGATTCTTTCAACTGGTTAGTTTGAATAAATGACCAAATTAAATCAAATAGATTACTGTATTTTTTTAAATAAATTTAGTTTAACATTCATTCAAACTAGATTGGTTAAACATTTACAGCCAATCAATGTAAGATTGTGTCTAGCTTCAATAGGACTGTTTGTTTTCTCTAGCTTATTAAAACTGTTTCTACCAGTTTTCTTTTATAGTTTCATTGACTTACTGAGATGATCTATTGAGAGGAAATGTGAACGAAAATGTGAATAGGAAATGTTGCAAAACGAAAAACAATTTCATATCAGTATAAGGTTATGGAGAATGTTGAGTTCTAATAGAGATCATGAATTGATCAATGTTGGAAGACCAATGAGAACCTAGAAGCATTGGATAGTCGTTTCCTTCTTCAGCAATGCATATCCACGATTTCGTGCGCGGGTTTCGAACCCAGAACCTTCGGTCTCACACGTGAACTCTTGATTTGTCTTATTTTCGCTTGAATCTAATTTAAAAATTAAATGATTGGCTCTGTATACTTGCCATTAACAATTCTTTTTTCGAAAGATTTCTATTCAATATCAAACTGGAGGTTACATTGTAATACTTTTAAAACTGCCGATTGAACTTACACAGTTACTTGTCAAAATTACTTTTTTCGAACATTTGCTTTCAATGGTTCCTATTTTATGTCATTGGAATTATTAGTACCTTATATGTTGATTTCACATTCATTTCAGAAAAACCCTGGATACCATGTTATACATAGATAAAGGAATATAAAACTAACAGTGGTATTTCTAAGGATCAATGAGGTACCGTAAGAAAAGTATACTACACAGCTATCATAGATTACAAACAATTTATCAGAAAATTCAAACAGATAAAATGTTTGCTATTATTTAAACAATCAAAGGTTATTGAGACAGGACAGGAAGTCAGATTTGATTCAAGGGTCAATATTATTCATTCTTGTTATCTACAGTACCTAAATATTAATTTAAAACAACTGATAGATTTTCAGAAAAAACTGAATACTTGTGTTTATACTGACATTTGACATGAGTAAAGTCTAGTTACGTAAATTGAAGTTGAGTGTACCTGACTTATTGCCTAATCAGTCGTTCTATGTTTATTAAGACGTTCCTTTTTCATGTAAACCAAACAAGCTGATCTAATTTTGATGGAGTTTTATTCTCTGAACTGTATGGTTTGATCGTGGAACCTTCATCGTTCTTGTGAACGACACCATCAGCAGAGACTTAAGGTAGAACTGAAGTGTTCGAATTCCTTTACATGTGGTTCACAGTTTGTCCACGACTAGCGGCTCCACGACTAAACCATCCAGCTCAGAGAACAAAACACCATCAAAATCATCCACATGAGCTACAAATCTTCTCCACCAGGCTGATCTTAATTCTACAATTGTTTAGATATGATTTATTTTGAAATTTGCAAAACTTTCAGTTTATATTGAGATGTAAAATTTGTTGCATAATAACATATTTTACGAAATATATTCTAAAGTAACATCATGGCAAGTTATAGTCTTGGATTGTTTGGAATATATATTTGGATAGTAGTAATAAAATCGTTCCCGACCGTTGTTGCTACCTTGACGTGGTGGTCGGGCTTGCCTATCGTGATGAAGCAACCGAACTATGCTGGCTGGAACAACCGTTCCTCAAGGTCCTACCATGTCAGACAGGTCGGTTGAAGAGCGGTAAGACCAAAAGCAACAAACCCAAGGTCCGAAGGCGAAGTCGTACTGCTGACTGTACAGAGGTGTGACAGCAGTAAGGTGTTTCCTTCAGACAACCAGCATGACAGCGATGCTGCCTTCCCACAAGGAGGGGTGGGGTTAGAAAAGGTCGACCCTAAAAATGCACACCTCACCTTACCTCACGGATTTCCGTCTCCGGCGGTAAGGTCTCAACAAGTACGGAGCTAAGACAAAAATTCCCCATAAAAAGGTCGTGTGTGACCGACCTCAAGCAGTTGTCCCTTAGGCAATGCGGTCACGCTCTCAGGTCACTAAGACCACTTTTAATCCAAATTCCTTTTCAGGTACCTCCAGAACAACCCTTCCACGGTGTGGGCAACCGGGAAGTGAAAACCGCCCTCATACCTCTAACAGCACTCAAGACCACTGTATTCACTGTATAATAAAATCGTGCAATGTGACATCATCTGTTTGATCTCATTCATAAAATAATGAATAAATATTTAGTTGAACAAGTGTGAAAGTATTGGATACAGAAATAAATCATACAGCATAGTAATAAATTTAGTTTATTATCATTACACGTTTTTTTATTTGTACACAATTGATCCGATCAAGTTTAATAAGTCAATATTGACAATGTATCAAAAGTCTGTCAAAGTAAGTAGTTAGTGAGATTGCTAGTGAAACTAAGTAAGCTAAAGGCAAAAAGGACAATATATCACAAACAATTTCATAGGAATGATGAAGAGTGAATTTAATTTATCCTGAAATAGTGATTATTGATATCGTTAAATCTAAAGCAATTAGTCCCTTTTAAAAATTTCGATAGAACAATAAGAAGACGGAGTTGATCTGAAAAATGTGATGTATTTGCGCTATACATTTCGAACAATCTGGTCACACATATACTTGTCAAGGCTTTTTTATATGAAAATTAATAAAGGTCAAACAAATAAAAGTTCAAGTAAAATAACTAAGGGGGGGGCGAAAGAATAAGAAATTGTCGCGTTATCCTAGGCTATAGAATGACTTAAGGATTACCAAGGTAAATCCAAGGTTACGACAAATTGTTTTTGTACACATAAGGGGGGGGTGAATTTACGAATAGCCAAGGCTTCAATAAACTTAAGAATTCGTCCTTGACAATTTCTATACAACGTTCTAAATGCTGTATTAATGTCAATTTTGTGTTTTGCTATCGATGAACTTGGTTTTCTACCTCCTACATTGATCGGATCACTTGACACACACTGATTTTGAAGCCATCTAGGCACATGTTCATTGACCCTTGATTGCATTGTTCGATTACTCCTCCCTATGTGGAAGAGCACAGGCCGCCCACCAGCACTCTCCATCCAACCATGACCTGGGCAATCCTTTCCAGTTGTTTCAACTTTCTAATCATTCTTTTTCACATCTGCTTCCATTTCACGATGTAGTCTATTCTTCAACCTTCATCTTTTCCGCTTTCCTTCAGGATTCCAAGTTAAGGAACTAGTATACTAGTTGCTTGAATTTATCATTGTTAATGAATAATCTGTTCATTTAATACTGATAATGTCTAAGCTGAAACAGTGATCTTTGGTGATTTATATCTAAGTAGTAAGGGAGTATAAAATAGCCAGGAAGACTAATTTTTAGAAAAATTTAAGAAAATATTTTATTAATTGAATCCACAATTCAGATTGAAATTCATGGAGCATTTGCAAAACAAAATGTTGCCAAATGAAAGTTTGATTGTAAATTGTTGCCAACTGAGAGTAATTCATTGAATTTGTATAATAAAGCACTAAATAGTAAAAATATAATTTGTAGTGCCTACATCAGTTTATGACAAATAAAATCTCTAGTCCCTTTCAATAAACAAAAAATATTATTCAAACAATCCTTTGAAAATTCTTTTATCCATGTTATGGAACCACAACTACATTCGATAATTAAGTATGAAATCTTTAGCGTTTACAGTAGAATCCTCTTGCTCAATTATAAACAACATTTTTATGAAACCATGATGGTAATAGGCAGTCTAAAATCACAAATCAATACTCAATATTAAAAAAACTATTGCTTTAATATATTCACCATTACACAAAAAGGGTGTTACTTTGAATCTAAGCATCAGTTGTCAAGAGTTTCGATAGAACAATGAGAAGACGGAGTGATGTATTTGCGCTATACATTTCGAACAATCTGGTCACACATATACTTGTCAAGGCTTTTTTATATGAAAATTAATAAAGGTCAAACAAATAAAAGTTCAAGTAAAATAACTAAGGGGGGGGCGAAAGAATAAGAAATTGTCGCGTTATCCTAGGCTATAGAATGACTTAAGGATTACCAAGGTAAATCCAAGGTTACGACAAATTGTTTTTGTACACATAAGGGGGGGGTGAATTTACGAATAGCCAAGGCTTCAATAAACTTAAGAATTCGTCCTTGACAATTTCTATACAACGTTCTAAATGCTGTATTAATGTCAATTTTGTGTTTTGCTATCGATGAACTTGGTTTTCTACCTCCTACATTGATCGGATCACTTGACACACACTGATTTTGAAGCCATCTAGGCACATGTTCATTGACCCTTGATTGCATTGTTCGATTACTCCTCCCTATGTATGTGTGTCCGCACAAACATGTAAATTGGTAAATACAATCGAATGTGACGTAATCATTAGTGCATTGTTTGTGCCTATTAGGAATCATGGCCTTAGACTTTTCAATCACTACCAACTGAGCAGCATAATACGTATTTTCAATGGCTCCTTTCAATCTCTGCCTTAAAACTATACTGTTTGATTCGCCTCTATATGGTAGATTGATGTAAACCTTTTTCTTTGGCACTGAATAAATTAGAGGTCTTGGCATTAACTGACTTTTGCACCTATTAATAAACTTGAGTGGATAACCATTTGCTATTAAAGTGTCAGCCAGTAACTTTTCATCTTTTTCCACCATATCAGAGGTACATATTCTTCGAGTCCTCTTAAAGAGGCACTTAACTAGAACTCTCTTGTATTGCAATGGACAGAAACTATAGAAATTTAAGTATTGTCCCGTCCAAATTGATTTCCTGTACAAAAACAATTTGTCGTAACCTTGAATTTACCTTGGTAATCCTTAAGTCATTCTATGGCCTAGGATAACGCGACAATTTCTTATTCTTTCTCCCCCCCTTAGTAATTTTAGTTGTACTTTTATTTGTTGGTTTGACCTTTATTGACCTTTATTAATTTTCATATAAAAATGCCTTGACAAGTATATGTGTGTGACCAGATTGTTCGAAATGTATAGCGCAAATACATCACATTTTTCAGATCAACTCCGTCT